AAATTCTGCTTTGCCATCACTGATGTAACTGTGACACATGAGATGAGAAGTCATTGATCTCTGTGGGCGAAACTGCACCATCACAGCATCTGAAGACCAAAGGAGTGTAAAATAGAAAGGAAAGACAAACATGATACACGAGGGAGGAGAAAACACTGAGATTAAATGTAATGTAATGATTAAAATGTAAACTGTAATCAGAAGTTAAAAGTTAATACTTCCACTTTGATTCTTCTCTGGTTTCCACACCTGGACACTGAACTTAGTTCTCAGGATTGGAACACTTAACCACTTCCTAATCTGTAGGATGAGGATTTAAGGGAAGATCTGAGCTTTGGGTGACTCCCCACAGCGTTGACGTTAATTTGGGAGGGAAGTAACAGTTGCAGATTAAAAATAAGCAATCAGATAAACATGTGAACCTGCAGTGACACGCCGAGCGGCTGGGGGACTTTGGGAGTCCTGTAGAGTGTCTGAACTCCTGTCTGATCTACACCGCGGGACCTGGCTGCAGTAAGAGTCCAGTAATAACTGGTACAAAAAGTGATTAGACGCTGCTGTTTTAAGAAGAGTTAATGAGAGTGAGGCATTTTAATTTATAAAAAATGAATAGGAGCACAAATTGATATAAATGTCTTTAAAAATATGTTTATAGTTTTAAAAGAATTGAGTGAAAACTACAAACTATTTCTTGTGAACTGAGGTGGATTTGGCTCTCAGTTTAGATTATCATAATATAATATCAACTGTTTCTAATAATAAATTAATTAAAATGTTCAGCCTTAATCTAGATTCCATTTCTGTTTACCTTTTATTTTACAGTGGATGTGTATCTATAAGAGTGCCATCTATAAAACAAACCATGCCAAATGCTCCAAAAACATACCTTGGGGAGGTATACAGCACCATCTTGTAGCTATCAGAGGTTAATGCAGTTCAACGGTGGAAATCAGAGAGCACAAAGCAACGATTGGCAAAGAATTGAAACCTATATTTTGCTGAAAACAGTACAAACACAACGTTTTAAATGTAGAACTTTTTTTTTACATTTTTTTTAAGTGTATATAATTTACTTTTAAAGCTGATGCCTCCCTCATTAAACATTGGACACGGGTGTGTCACTTAAACACTACCTCTATGCTTGTTAGAGATTATAAAGCAGTGTTTTTCTACTTTTTCTTCAGTGCTATGTGAAAGTCTTGAGCTACCCCTCATTTCTTGATATCCTCCAGGCTTTTTTGTAATGTTTAAAGTGCTCTTGAGCTATAGTGTTCCAGTTTTCTGAACTTTTAAAATATTTTCTTTGGAGTTTCTTTCAGACCAGTCCTTGTATCTGACCATTATCATAAGAATTGTTTTTTATTCTTGTTAAGCCACTAAACACCAAAACATTCAAGCATGCAAGCAACAGAGAACCAATTTTAAATTATATCTTTGGGCTGCTTGTTACTCGTAGCCTATAGCAGAAATCAACTTGTTCTCATATCTTTAGCAAAACCTATGAAAAATGCCAAAGATGACAGTTTCACTGACATAAAATAGTATTTTTATACCAAAAACGTTAATCACAAAGCACTACTGACATGTTTCAGCATGTTGTGCAGCGTATCCTTGAAGATATCTGAGGAAACTGGACAAATGGATGACAAAGGAAGAAGTGGCAGACCTAAGAACAAATATATAAGATAAGATATACAAGATATCTCTGCGCTTCCTGCCCATTGATCCTGCGATAACCTCACCTTTTGTTAATCTTCTCATTCACTCGCTACTACTTAAGATATTCTACATGCTGAAGTCTTGTGTGTTGCATTTGTGTTTGATAAAATGTCTTGCTTTAAGTGGCTTACTAGTTAAGGACTAGTGTAGCACCTGACCTTTTTTTAAAAACCACAAATCTGTGCTGATGCCGAATGTGTAGAATGTCTTTGACATCAAAAAGACATCTGGGTGGAAACCCGTGTTCATGTAATCTTCACTTCTGTAATCTTCACTTCTGTAATCTTCACTTCTATCTTCACTTCATCCTAAAATGAGCTCAGGCCCAGAGAAGGCAGCATTGTTTCTGGATCTTGTGTACATATGTATATTTTCTTTGCATGCTACAATTTTCTCTTGCACTGAAGAGTGTACAGAGATTTCTGTGGATTCCCTGAACCCTTCTCCTTCACCGTTACTTCTGAAACCCAGTCATGTTACTAATTAAACGAATTAGCGGTGAGATGGTCCACCAGTTGGTTTTTCAGCATAGAAGAAGTTTTCCAGTTTTTTTTAAATTGCCCCTGGCTTTTTTTAATGAATTCAAATTCAACCAGACCTCCCTTTTTTTTAAATTCCATTTTAAACATTTCTCTACTCCTATTTTAATTAGACATATTCTAATTATTTATCTGCCATTATTTATTTTTTAAACATTCTATTATTTTATCATAAATACATAGAAACACAACATTTAACCTGTATTCAACACAGTTCTGTACTGATCATGCCTCAAACTAATGATGTGTTGAAAACAAACTAATGAGCAGCCTTCAGCACCACAGAAGGGTGGACAGCTCCCTCTCTCTGGATAAGCAGGATTTCAGAGAAGCTCCGCATAAAACTTTATTATATTTAATAAGTAAAGTGATATAAACATGCAGAGAAGTCTCAGAGTATACAAAGCCTGTTGATGTGCAACTGTTTACTGCTGTGCTGCTGTTTACTATCATATTTTCTGTTGAATGATTTGTTATGAGGATAACTTTAATTTAAATTCAAATCTATTTTATTTATATATTTTATTTATATTTATATTATAGGATAGTCTGATCATAAAGAATTATAATATTGTAGCCTAGAAGTAATCACTCTGAGTGATCAGCATCACTCTGAGACAGGATGTTTCTAATTTTAGAGATATTGTGTCAAGTAAGCAGTCTTACATATTTGTTTAATATGTGCATTGAAGGACATATCCTGGTCAAAAATGACTCCAAGGTTCCTCAGTGTTACTGGAGGCCAAGGTAATCCCACCCAGAACTGGAATCTGGTTAGATACCATATTTCTAACATTTTCAGGGCCAAATACAAAAACCTCAGTTTTATCTGAATTTAGAAGCAGGAAATTAGAGGCCATCCAGGTCTTTATGTCTTTGAGACATTCCTGCAGTTTAAATAATTGGTGTGTGTTATCTGACTTCATGGATAGCTAGAGTTGGGTATCATCAACATACCCATGAAAATGTATGCTATGCCTCTGAATGATACTGCCTAAGGTAAGCATGTATAATGTAAACAGAACTGGAGCCCTGTGGAACTACATAATGAACCTTTTTGTGTGAAGAGGACTCCGGTTTACATGAATAAATTGGATTCTATTAGAAAGATGTGATTGAAACAACTGCAGGGCAGAACTTTCAATATCGACAGCATGTTCTAGACTCTACAATTATATATATATATATATATAGTTTTTCTCTACCTGGATTAGCAATAGGCTAAACACTAACATCATTGTCAGGGCCAGCAGGAGTCTGGTGGAGGAAAGCTGTTTAGAAACTTCACTTGTTGCCATTAACTCGGTGAATCCTCTAGATGGCAGTGTATGAATGCGGCCACACGTCAATGGTTTCCATACTGGCCTCCTGTGTTATGTTTTTATACCTGCTGGTGTGGTAGGGATTTCTGTTACATACAGAATAACATAGTTTAAACCTATATAAATACATTTTTCTCCATTAACCCCTCATTTATGTTGCAGTTCCAAAAGTTAGGACTATGCACACCCACTGTCCAAAAACAATTTCAAAGCAAAACTTCCAACTTTGCATTTTGAAACATTAAAGAACAACAGTGACATTTCCACAGAAGGTCAAGAGCTATGCTAACACTTTGATGCCTTATGATGCTTTTATTACAACATGACATTAGCCTGTTGCTTATGTCCCCCGATGACTAATACATACTAATATATGAGCCACAGTTTTTTTTCCTAATTTGTGTGACACTGACCTTTGATCTTGTATGCTATTATCTTTAACCATATGACTTGCTGAAATCTTTGGCTTCTATAAGCTCTAAAAACTTGATATTCTAAGATATTAATGCAATGTGTGATTTGTTTGTGATGTCATATTGAAAAAATCTAATCAAATACACTGTGTCACTTCTCTGCACAAGTGTTGTGCAGCTGTCTTGATGGCCTTTTGTATGACATATTACTCGATATGGTTCCCTGAAATTTTTCTTCAAGGTCAACTTTGATCTTGGCCATTAACGACGAAGGTCAAGGTCAAATGCTTCTTCAGCCTGGGTACTCATGTCGCACAAGGCCAGTATATTGCTGTGAAGTTTGAAGATGATCTATAAAAAACGTTTCTACTGGTTTTCACATTTGGTGTGACCTTGATGTTTCAGCAAAATTAAATCAGCTCGAGCTATTATTGGTATCCACCGTCACTCAAAGTTTGAAAATGATATCTCCACAACTGTGGACACTAGACTGCTGACAAACAGACAGACAGGCCGATTACTTACTCCCTCCCTTCGGGGGGAGAATAATTGTATAATTATAAAAGAATAATGTTTTGTCCTCTTGCTGCGTTCTTGTTTGTTTTATTTGATCGTCATCATTGGATCACTGTTTCGTGATTGTTTGACCTGATTGATTTGAGGCGCTTTGTTTTATGACTTTAGAAACCTTCTGATAATTGCTATGATTCACTTTATAAGACAAACAGTTTTTGTGTACGAGCCACTGTTTTTTTTTTTTACATAATTGATTAATCTCGCGGTATTTCCTTCTCATCCCTTGAACACGTTTTTGTGTGTGTATGTGTGTTTTGCACACACACACACACACACACACACACACACCCTTGCGCAAACTTTTTTCACCCGCCCTGATTGGTGGCCTCACAGCCACAGAGGGTGGGGAAACCTTGGGATTAATTAGCATACCTGTGCAGTCCGATAAATGCGCCGGCACGCTCACCTGATGCTTCGAAGAGCGTCACACACAGAGAGGAAGAGGGGGACCTTCGTGTGTAGTGTACAGTGCGAATAAAAGTCACCGTGGAAGTAAAGCTCAGCCAAGCTCTCTCACCTCACCGAGAACCCGATCAGGCTCCGCCGTCTGTGCGTTAAGGCGTACAGCCCAAACTCAGAACTTTACTCTCTCCCTGGAGGACCGTACCCCCCTCTTCCTCTTTCCTCCGGCTCTCCCTGCTTGACTGTGCCTTGAGGCTTTCCGTAGGCCACTTCTGACTCTTACGCCCGGTTCTGCTGAGTTGTGGCCGGTTCCACCCAGAGCCCCGGGTCACCCATGAGGCTGGAGGCCGCAGCCAGGATGGATCTGTTCAGGAAGCTGTGGAGGGCGAGGAAGCTGATCCTTGTGGTGTTCATCCCGCTGTCCCTGCTTCCCTTACCGCTCATCCACCCTACCAGTGTGAGTACGAGAGAGAGAGAGTGTGAAAAATGTGAAGTTTTTATCATCATTAGCATATACACGCAACAGAACTCTTACCATAACCAAATGGGTTTCAAAATAAGAGCACGGTAGAGTTTAACTGTATAATTTTCACTATCAATGTATTTGATGGATAGAATAAAAAGGTATTAATATTCTATTGGAAATTATTGACATATAAATGCGTCAAATTTATTGAAGTTAATTCGTAGATCGACAAATACACTTTTTAATGCACAGATGTGAAACATTTAAAGACGGAATGACGAGAAACTACTTTTAAAGCACCAGAAAATCTCTTCAAAGCATTAAATGTGATGGATATGCCAGTGCCTATAAGAAATAAATTAAAGATGTATGTTAAAAATAATTAGTATATGCGAACTTAGGTTAAATCAAACATCATGCGCCAATAATTAACTCTTAATAAATACCTAGCAACCATCCGGCACAGCAGTAAACAAGATATCCAGTTGATCTGTGTGTGGTGATGCTGCTGCTCTTGGCCTCAGTGTCCTGATGGGATCTTGGTCTGTGTGTGTTTGTGTGTGTGTGTGTGTGTGTGTGTGAGGGAGAGATAGAGAGAGAGAAAGGCGCACTGTCCTCCGTTTTGATAATCGCTTGTCTCGAGCTCCCCCATCATCAGCTGAGCCGTGTGTGTGGAGAGGAGATGTCGCGACATGTTAATGAGCTAAATATCATCGTGCTCCTGAAAAATAAAAAAGTGAAGAGGGAAAAGATGGGAATAAAAGGAGAGAGGTCCGTTCCTCTTTTGCGTGTCTTCCCTGCGAATCTGGGATAGCTCTGTCGTCAGTGTCCTCAGATTAGTGAAATCATAATGAAAAGCACAGAATTACATGAGCCATGTGCAAGCATTCGCCATTCTGAGACTAAAACCTTAAACTTTTGCTGCTGGGGAGTGAGTTTCATGTATTTTTTTTTTAAATATTTGAATATTTGTTTTGTTTGTTTCAGACTTTCAGATTGTGGTGTGGTCTCATATTTACTGAGGCTCAGACCAGTGCATTTCTCTGATTTGCAGAGTCTCTCTGGTTAACATGGTCACCTGTCAGATTCCATGATATCCAGTAGAAAGCACTTTTTCCCCTCTAGTGTAGGTCATACTGAGAACACCTCAATTGGGATTAGGATTTTTTTTCTCCCGTGACCAGTGAAAGACAGTAGCAATCAGCAAACCAAAATTGAAGCTTTAAAACACCCTATCAGAGCACGTCACTGTATTTATGATGCAAGTGGTACACATTAGCTCCAGTTTGTGACTTTAATGTATTACAATCTGAGTCACGGAGGTAACAATCAATTTAAAGGGAGTGAGAATGTGTTGGTTTGAAAGGCCCACGTCATTTCAAAACTCACGGCATGCGCAATGCATTTTCAAAATCCTCAAGGTGTCCTGTGATAAAACAGTATCAGTTATAGTATATCTAGGTGTTTCCGTTGTTTCTTGTGTTTTGAAGCATGGATCAAGCGCTAAATATAGCTACAAAAGTTAAAGTTTGTGTTTAAAAAATCTGAATCAGAATCTGAAGTTTTGAGTTTTTAATGTTCGTGAGCAGCCGGGACTGGAGCTTAAACCACATCTCTGGTAAAAGAAAGAACTTAAGAACTCAAGAATTAACACATAAAACAACTCCCAACACTTCTGTTAAACAGTGATATAAGAAAAAAATGTATTCTCGGTATTTATGAACCAGGTATCAGTGCTGTTTCTGATAAACACAATGAACAAGGGTCGTAAGAGAGGCGATGCGCTTTAGATCATATTCTGTCATGTTTATTGGCACACGGCCATAGTGTTTTCTACACGTATTTCAATTGTAACTACAGGTGTTTCTCTGTGTTTATTTTAATGTCATTCATATTCAAAGAAAGTGTTATGCTCCACAAGTTGACCGTCAGCCAATAAGAGCGATCGCCAAGGAGCCCTGCTGTTATGTCAGTGGTGGTGGATGTTTGGCACGAGTAAGTGGCGCAGGATGAGGCCAAGAAAGAACAAAAGAACAAAAACTTGACTACAAAGAAAAAGAAAGAAACAACCCAAGCAATTAAGTTATATAATCAACCCACAACCACGCTGGATTTGAGCCCCCACGTGGCTTCCTTACGACACCAGGGACCCCAGACTGTGTCGGGAATGTGACGGGTTCAGAGTAACGTTGTGTGTGTGTTTGGAGAGGTCCTGTGTCCAGCTGCAGCTGAACAGGACATCTGTAGGATGCAGTCAGGCCAGGTCAGAGAGACTGAGGACAGGAACAAAGAAGCAGAGTCAGTGGCAGATAAGCACAGGGCTTATCAGAGGCGCACGTGTGCAGTTTCACAACTTTCCAAAATTTTTGCTGAGTCCAGGCAGCTACGTATACACACACGCAAAGAGATGTTCCCTGGCTTTTGGCTTGGCTGCTGTGATGCACACTAAAAAATTGCTGCTACTGTTAAAAAAACTGGCAGTTAATTACAATTTATATTTGGTGAGCCTCTGACTTTTCCTTTAGCAGAAATCTGGCATTTGTGGTTTTTAGCTGTCTTGTCATGTGGATGGATTGCCAATGAATGTACCCTGTAGGATGATAACTGTGGTGATCAGGACAAATATGTGTAGTATATGTGTATGACTCACCTCAGATGGTCTTTTTAGCTGTGATGTGTACTGATGTTCTTTTAAAAATGCTTTTATTGTCAGAGCAATTTGGATAATTAATTTGTTTGACTGATATGTCATCCATTTGTTACCCAGTTCATGGTAGTGGTGTCTGTAGGTGTGCACTCTATGACTGATGAGATAGCCGAGGTACACCTTGGACAGGTCAAACTCCAGTCCCAGAAAAGGAAGTTTCATCAGTGTTGTCAGTATAAAGTCAGTTTTCATGTGAGTATTTTTCCATACAAATGGGCACAGGAGTGAACCGTGTGCATGTTATCTATTGAGCCGTTTAGCCTTCTGCTGATTGACTCAGTGAAAAACGTTTGAGCTGTGACCTAATCTGCCTATCAGACATCCTTAGGTAATTGTCTTTTCTTTTTTTAAACTGAATAATATTCATGTTCATTTCCCAAGCTGATCACGGATAACAGTTAGTTGACGAGGCAATCAATGGGCTTCTGTTTAGAGAAAAGCTGACCTATCAGCTGTAAACCACTGAGATTTCAAAGAAAAACATCTTTTCTCATCCCAGTAAGCTCACAGAAATCGCTTTGCTCAAAGCTTCTAAACCCACACCGGGCTCCAATGCAAAAGACTCAAGAAGTGTCTAGTGAATAGCTGCAAAAGGAAAACATTTGCATTCCTCTTTCTTCCTCACAGATCTCGCAGGAAAGTAGGAAACAACAAATCCAGGGCATTGTTACAAACAAATTATGAGTCCTTTCGGTGTCCTGATTGTTAAATGCATTTAAATAGTCTAAAGCATGATCTATTTCACTGTTTTAATTACCACAAAGAGAGTAATAAGATGCACTGTCACTTATGGATGTTTCTTATGACAAACTGCTGCTAAATACCCAGAATATAAAAACTTATATTTTTCTTCTCTGCAGCATTGTGCCTGAAGGGTCCATTACAGTTTGTTAAGCCGTTTAACATTTTCCCTCTGGTTCTCCAATATCACATTTTACAACAGAAGCAGAAATCAAGTGAACTCTCACCTAGATGGAAAACAAAAAACGGCATCTCACACTTTCATGCCTGTCACAGCCGGTCAGTTGTCCACTTTCCCTCAAAAATGGCCCTGCAGGTGGCACTTTCATAAAATATATGTAGACTGATTTTAATTTTGTCACCACAGAGAGTTGCTAATTTTGTAGTTGAAATGATTTTTAAGATTAATAACTGGTTACATAACCTTCAGAGAAGCCTGCCTAAATCAGCACAAGCACAGGTTATCTTTCATGTGATGACTTCGGAACCTCGACACGTCTTAGCGTGAAGTCTTTTCAGCACAAAGGTCGAAGTACAATGGCTTTAAAAACAAGCCAAACAAAGAAGCCAAAGAGTAGGATTTGAGGATCTAACTGAAGCTGCAGTTTCTGTGGGGCAACTGTGCTCTAGTGACCAATAATCAATCATGGATTACTGCTGATTTGTCTTTTTTGTTTATCTGTCCATTTGTTTGTTCTTTCTGAAGGTCACATTTCTTTTTCTCTTTACATTCTCATCATTGTGCTTCCCCCCCCGCAAACCAGTAGTCAGACCTTTGGCATTGCTTTAATCCTATCCCCCCCAGGATTAATAAAGCATTCTGATTCTGATCTGGCAGACTTCCAGCACGTCCTCGGTGTGGTGTTGTGTCCGACACAGGCAGGAGCTGTAAAGCTAGCTGTTAAAGTGCAAAAACTCATTATTTGGACACAATGTCTCTCTTTATAATACTGGAATGTTTTCTCAGTGGATTTAAATTGTTGTAATCTTTTCAGTGGCGAAGTTCTCTTTGATTATGAACCCCAAACATCTCATTTGGTCTAATCAGGCAGCTGGACCCAATGCCTGGAAATGCCTCTTAAATCTTTAGGAACGTTTCCAATAAGTAAGCACCTGTCTTTAGAGTAAAAACCTGTGTTGTCAACAGCAAATCAAAAACAGAGCACATTTTATGCTTCTGCTTATTTTCTGTTAGGGTGGTAGATGCTTGTTAAATATGGCCAGTGTTTCATATAATGAGAGCTTTGTATGTGCAAGTAATCCCTGTGAGCCAACAGCTCCGGCTTTAAAATGCTCTAAATGCCCCTTTTGAGACATTTTAAAACAGTTTTGGCTGTCTGTGATATCAGTTAGAGCAGAAATAGGGAGTCGTCTTCACACACTGGAGTTAAGGTTAAGATGTGGAGTTCCACAGGGTTCCGTGCTAGGACCACTTCTGTTTACATTATAGATACTTCCTTTAGGCAGTATTATTAGAAGGCATAGCATACAATTCCATTGCTGTGCAGATGATACCCAGTTTTATCTACTCACAAAGCCAGATGACCAGTAAGTTTAACTGCAGGAACGTCTTATAGACATAAAGACCTTCCTCCATCTGTGCAATATTTCTAAAATTAGAAACAGCCTGTCTCGGACTTATGCTGAAAAACTATTTTACCATCACTCTGCAACATTTATTACTTCTAGACTCAACTATTGTAATTCATTTTTATCAGGCTGTCCTAAAACTGCCTGAGAAGTTTTCATTTGATCCAAAACACAGCAACAGACAAACTGACATAGACTAGAAACAGAACTGCCTTCTCTTCATTGGCTCGCTGTTAAATCCAAAATTAAATTTAAAATCCTTCATGTCACATAAAATATCTTGAATAATCAGACCCATCTCATCTTAAAGCAATAGTACTGTAAGGTAGTTTTTTTAAATAAATAAATGTGGTAGTTGAAAATAATAATAGGCTTTTAAATATTTACTTGCTTGTTACTGTTTCTATAGTACTTCTACAGCTATTAAAACTTTTAATATAGCTATTAAAATGGCTTATTGTAGCTTTATAATAACATTAGTTGTATAGCACGTTTCAAAACACAGAGTTGCAAAGTGGTTCACAGTTTGAATACAAACACATGATAAAAACACTGAAGATCAATATGCATATTCAAACATACTGAGCCGCCTTAAAAATGGTCTGCGAGCAGCAGATTACCAACAAGCATTCTCTCATATTTCTTGTCTTCATCGATATGTTGATTGTCAAACTGTAGTTTGGCTATTGTTTTCCTTTTGAACACCATTTTTTTTTCTTTTGCACACTTCCCACACTGGCCACATTTGTACAGCCTCTTTGTGGTTGTTGTCACATGCACTGAGGCATCTGTGCTTACCTGTGGATATTTTGAAACTTCAAAGTTTCAGGGTTCTTCTACAATGTCTTTGAATTGTAAAAATCTACATGCGTTTTCTTGCAACATAATGTAAACAGCAGGCATGCATAAGCTTGACTTCTGAAAAGTTTTTTTTTTTTTTCTCAAAATGGGAGTTCAAGCAGGTCTGGACATGGTTCACGCTGAAGTCCTGCGGCTAATTCTCCTCCCTGTGGGTTTATTAACTTGAGATTAAGTGACCTGCTACAAGCAAAATGCTATACTAAGCATTCTTCAGTACAGACTCCAGCAGCGTTTGATAGAAGCTAATATGAAATCTGTGCTCAACAAAAGACTATCCAAGTCTCATATTATAACATAGTGATAACCTGCATATATAATAGCACTATGTCTGTGACACATTCATTCTGACCTAAATTAAGCTTATTAAGCATTAAGCATAATTCATTTATGAACAAACTGTATTTTTCTGCAAAGCGAGTGTCGGCTATAAAAGGTCTTAACAAATGTCACGAGATTCAACTTTAGTTTTGAAGATTGGAGAGCGTGTCACTAAGCCCATTGGTGTTGCGACAGAGCGGTATGAGAGGCTGGCATGTTGACATTATATAACCAATAACAAGATTAATGTAATATCACTGTGTGTGTGTGTGTGTGTGTGCGCGCTAGAGTTTTGTCAGAAAGAGTGTTAGTGTGTGTCCCAGTTGGATATTAAGTACAAACAACACTCCCCACTGCTGCCACAACAATAAACTCACACAATATTTGTACTTGTACTTGTAATGTATTCTAAAAGACTGTGCACATCCATGTGTCCACATCCACACACACATCCATATGTGCATGTGCACACATGGATGTGTGTGTGTGGACAATGTTGCTACCAACCTAAAATAATAATACAATTGCTATAGAGACCTGTGTCTTTTTTTCTGTATTGCTTATTGTGTGGATGATATAGACAGACTTTTTTGGGGGTTGCAGGAGGCGTGTTGTGCTTATGTGTTGATGGTGACGGCCGTCTACTGGGTGTCTGAAGCTGTTCCCTTGGGTGCTGCTGCTCTGGTCCCAGCCTTCCTCTACCCGCTCTTTGGTGTACTCAAGTCCAGTGAGGTGAGTCCTTCTTTCCAGCTGATTGTCTGGTTCGAGCTTCAGCTCTCTGAAGTTGAAATAATCTTATAAACTGTATTTGAGATGCCAAATTAAGAGTGAGTTGTATATTGAAAATTGTAGCATCTACTGTGAGCTAAAGGTTTTGATTTTTCATAACTGCAGAACCTGGCAGAGAAGGAGAGCAAAGAAAAACAAAGATCCCGTTTTTCAGAATGAATTAAAAACGCGACCGATTGTGGCAGTTCCACATAGTCGGGTTAGAGCATGCAGAGCAGAGACACTATGACTGATAAAGGATTGAGATGGAAATGTACTGAGTGAAAAGAGTGTGCTGAGAAGATGGCAGGAGTATTTTGAGGAGCTGCAATAAAGAAAATGAAAGAGAGCAGACAGATAGGATAGGAACAACTAGAAGAGTTACAAGAGAATTTAAGTCTCTGTCTTCTAGCAGTCCATCAGTAGGTAGACCTCACGCTTTATGCGTTATAAGTGAAATCTTAAACTGATTGGTACAAGGTGCTAAAAGACAGTTCAGTGTCCCACAAAATACCTAAAATTCTGCTTGCATGTTTGAAATTTGGAGATTTTCACATCGTGTTTCTCGGGTTTTCAATGTGTCATGTGATTAAAATGCCCGTTTGAACATTGAACAGCACTGTAAAATAGGATAGACAGTCACGCTGAACGAAGCTTCTGACCTTCACAGGACTGAGTGCTTAACTTTTTCATGAGCACATATGCAATGTGTGTAATAACATGATTAAAACTATGTTCAATTAATTAAATAAATGTTCTCATCAAATGCCACTACTCAAAGCTTAATAAAAAGGATATAGAAGAATAAACATAATATAAAAATGATATAATTCCCACACAGCCATGTGCGGCAAATCCTGCTACAGCACCATGCGTAGCTAACTATTTTCAAGGCAAATTACAGCTTTGACACAGTGCAGTGAATCTAAACGATAACAATTATTCTTTAATTTATTACATCCTAATTCTGGATGTCTTTTGTTAAAACTTTGCCTTATTGTGCAAATATCCTCCTCCGTTCTTTCAGTTTGAAAAGGCACCAGGACTGAGACTCCTGTAGCAATACAAAAGTCTTGGTCAGATTCTTGTTAAGGGTTTTTGCTTTTTGCTAATTAAACAAGTGGGGCAGGGATAGCTCAGTAGGTAGAGTGGGTTCCCCATGGTCGGAAGGTCTGGGGTTTGAATCCACTGAACGGCTGCCCTGAGGTACCCCTGAGCAAAGTACTGTCCCTACATGCTGCGCCTGCTTAGTGGCTGCCCACTGATTGAATGGGTCCAATGCAGAGAGAGTAATTCCCCCATGGGGATCAATAAAGTATACATTATTATAAGTGTTCTTGTAACTGTACAGTATGAGGCACAGGAGTCCCCAGTAGTTTTTTTTTTTTGGTTTTTTTTTAAGGCAAAACCAAATTTCATCAATTTTTACAGTGTTTACAGTTTTTATAAATTAAAAATCTGCTGTACAGATCTCTATATATCTGTTTAACTAGAGTTATGTCCATATTAATAGGAAGAGGTTATTGAATAATTAAGAATATTCTCCTTAGACACTGCATTGTCTTACTTTATTGCGGGTTTGCTCATTTTTTTCTAAAGCAACATTAAAGCAAGAAAGGAAAAAAAGTGGTAGTAAAAATATACGTGCAGATCAGACGGTGCATGGTTTTTGTGTTCTGGACTGTGCTATGTATGCTTAAAGAAATTTGGTCCACGCGTGTGCTCCTCAGACATACATAAGCTTTTTATTTACAGTTCTCTGTTGCTTATCCTATTACACTCCAGTGTAAACCAGAGGCACGGTCACTCAACTGTGAAGGTTTCATTAGACATGACTGAGTGGAGAGTGCAGATGAACCCATTAACCCGGCACTCATCATCAGTACCCACTGATGTTCTCCAGTGTTCTTCACGTGGCCACACCCAGCCTCTCACACACTTTACTGACCATTAACACCACTGTCGAACCTTAATACAGTATGATTGGCGTTACTGATAGTGGCGGCCATTGGCGTCAGTCCCTTTTTTTTTTCTTTTAAAAAAAATAATACCAGTAACAGTTTCCTCAATTAAACTCACCTTCATCATCTTTACCTTTGTTATCTGCATTACATAAAAACTGAGTCGTGACCAAAGCGCCTTGACAAACAGTGACAAAAGCTGCCTGTTAACACTGCTGTAAGCCGCTTGTGATGGTGTTCCATAAATATGCCAGCAGAGAGCTTTATGCAACATTTCCAGTCTATTATAGCACTTTCATTTTTTTGTAATCTCCTCATTTTCCGCTGCTTTAATGCTGCTAATTTAGAGATTAGATTCAGTCTTCATCTGCTGCCACTCAAGAGTGGAATATAAGAGCATCAACAATGCACAGGATCTTATCTCATCCAGTTAACAGTTCAACTTTTCTGCGGTCATAAGTGTTCCATTAAAAAAAGCTAGTATTTAAAGTGATTGGAAAGGACTATGACTTGGATTTGTAGCTGCAAATTGAAATGAAAACCGATTAGCCGAGTTTCAGTGCGAAACAGCTGTGGAGGATAATCTGTACACTGTATGTGAATACTGTAGCAATGATTATATGTCTGTTAAACTTGGAGCTGTCACTACTAAGCTTTGCATTAGCCAACACTGAGATTTTAGCTATTTTAGTCATTCCTTTAACGTATTATCTTAACAGCTGTTATTGTAACTGTGAAGCAGCTGATAGGCTTGGATGCATTCCAGCATCTGTCTGATTCCCATTCAGTTGGTTTCTTGTTTTTAAAAGTTCATTTATGGGATTTTGACATCTTTTATGACAACAAACAGTGTGGAGAGACATTTTTATGGGGCCTACCCTGTGTACTTTTGTTCCCAAGAACACCAAAGTGTAAACGTTCAGCTTAGGGAAAATTAAAAGATTTTAGGTGAGAGGTGAGTGCACTTGGGATTATGTAACGCTGCAGACCTGTGAACGCTGCTGATGGGAAGTAGAGCAGATTAAGAACAACAAACCGTGAGTGCTGATCCTGTACGAGGGAGGGTGGACCGGGTGAAAGGAGGGTCTCGGAACTTCTTCCTGCCTACAACATCTCATTTTGTTTATTTTCCCGGCATCTGTTGAATTAGTTTGAAATGATGTAGACTTATCATTTGAAGTGATAATTTTTGTACCTCTGTGCGTGTTCAGGTAGCAGCAGAGTACTGCAAAGACACAACTCTGCTGCTGATGGGAGTCATTTGCCTGGCGGCCTCCATAGAGAAGTGGAACCTTCATAAACGGATTGCTTTGAGGATGGTGATGATTGCAGGGGCCAAGCCTGGCATGTGAGCATCACACTTTTGTACATTTAAACACTATAATGATGGTAAATGTAGTCAAAATGCCCCCCCACAAAAGTATAAAATGACCTCCTTCTTGTGCAGGTTGGTACTGGGCTTCATGTGCTGCACCGTATTTCTCTCCATGTGGCTCAGCAACACATCCACCACAGCCATGGTGATGCCCATAGCTGAGGCCGTCCTGCAGCAGCTGATCTGCACCGGTCTGGCTGACAGTCATAACGACTCTGAAACAGCAGAGGTGCCTGAAGAGGACAGTGGTATGTCTGGGTCTGTCACTATATTTCTGCAAATATAACAACAGTGCTTGCACCAGTGTGGACATTAGCTAGAAGCTAGCTGAGGTGCTGTAGCAGAGAGGGTCTCCTGTTAACAGGCAAACAGTCGAACTTTTCAAACTACTTCTGTCATTGACTTGACGATGCCCGTGTTTCTCTGCAGCTGTGTCAGACAAAGAGGAGAACCTGGACAAGAACCAGCTAGAGCTGCTCTACCGCAACAACTGGTATGTGTCTGTGGACATTTTGGGTCTTTATTTAT